ACGAGACGTATTATTACTACTATATAATAAATAAAGTAATAATATATTATTATAATAATAACTATTATTTTATCTTAGTTATTATACTACACTACTATATATATATATATATATATATATATATATATATATATATATATATATACTTAATATAACAAAGAATATTACCCACGAATCGAAAACCGGCAATCCAAGTTTTTTAAAGTGTACAAATTTTGAAACTGTAGATGCTCTTAGGCACACTCTGCTGCATTTCTGATGAGGATTTAATAAGAATTTCAAAACTTCTACAACCAATGATTATTTCCTTTAGCTAAGTGTTTGTAGCAAGTAAAATAAAGAACTCAACAGTTTATATATACACATCTTTACGATAATTATATCATTCAAACAAAGATTAAGTGGAAATTTTGAATGTTTTCATGTCAATCTATAGTTTATTCTATTCATTTTTTATTCTATTCAGATATACAGATGAAAATGGCAAAATATCCCAATGATTCAAATGACTGTTTATTGAATATTATTTTTAAGTTTATTGTATTCAAACAAATTAGATTCTAATCTATTGAAAGAAATAATATTTGTTATAAATGATTTCCACCAAGAGTGCTGTTAACCAAAATATTGTTATCTAGCTTGACAAAGTAAATTATGTCGTTTTGAAAGATGGAAGTCCAGGCTCACCAATAAATCTTATTCAATTTTTGCCATATTTTTTAAGACTTCTAACTGGAGGCAGTGACTGTTGTAATCAGCAAAATAAAATATGTTAATAAATATCAATCAAGTTGAAATGACTAGATATATAAAATGGTTACAAAAATTTAAATACCAGATGAAATCAAGTAATTTAATGCTTGTTTTTCAAGCAGTGTATCACAACATAATTTTGGAAAATTTTCACCCTAAACAATAACAGAAACTAGCAGAGACCCGCAAAACATTTCCGGCCAAATTAGTATCTTTACCGTAACAGTACTTCTTTAAATATAACATTTCTAGCACAATACAAACGAAATGTAATTGTAGACAACGAAATGTGTAAATCCACTTGTATATAGGCTGTACTTTATAAAACTTTAACTTATGTTAGACCTAAGCTCGATAAAGAGATAAACTAACACTGTAACCTGTGAACGTTTTTTTTTACTTTACTTTAGTTCGGACTAAACTTTACTGTACTTAATAAACTTATAATGTTATTCTATGGCCTAATGTCAAACCTTTTTTAAAAACTTTGACAAGTTTTTAATATTCTGTTGTACAAAATGGTTAGTAAAGTAGATTTAAATTCCCCTTTTGTTGTTACTTCTTGTTTCATACCGCAATTGTAGTGACTTGATCACTGGGCTTTGCAGCTCTCTGCTGTAGGAAGACTGTTTGTCGTCCAGTGAATAATGCGCATGCGCAGTTTTTCTTGTAGAAACATTCTAACTATGCATACTTATGCAGCAGGTTCTCGGTCAGAAAGCGTAACGGTCGTACATACAAACAAGCAGAATAATAGTATAGATACTTAATCAAAATTACAAAATTTTTAAAATAGTTATTCTCATTTAGTGCTACCCTCTATATGCAAAACATTTTTTGCACGCTACTGAGCTTCCATGTACCCTATGATTCAACTGTAGCTCGTATTCAAATCATCATGAGACAACCCTCCACCAATAAGAGTATGACACACCCTCCTAATTCATGTGGCTCCCTCTATTCGATTCTATTGAACTATCACTTTGAATTTTGGCAGAAAATGGAAGTACCAGTTTTCAGTGGAGGTAAGAACCCATCGGAACTGCATTTTCAGTATAGGAAAATAATAACTTCCAATATCTCGGCTCACATAGCTATAATCCCACATTGAATAGGAGGAGGGACCAGTGCATAGGAAAGAAAGAAGCATTCTTTGAATGTGTCCGAAAACTCTCTAAAAGAAGAGGTTCGCACATTGGAGGAAAATATGTGGTAGACTGCACCACTTCTGTACCAGACCCAGACACGGACAGAAAATGGGAGGAGCACATCCAAAAGGAAAAGAACAATGATTGAATAGGGATTTGAACCACCCAATTCTGAAACTCAATTACTTAGATGTCCATAATGTGGGTAAGAGTAAAAAGTATGTGCCTAAAGATGTAGAGTAGCTAGGGCACAACAGACCTTACACGGCAAGTCAACTGTATCCAAAACTCAGCCAACAGGGACCAACATCCATGTAAGGGTAGAATGAGGATCATACCATTGGTGAGTCAACTACAAATCAAAGCCCAACTACCAGGAACTGACATCCGTGTGGGGGATAGGAAAGAGGATTATACCGTCTTCACCTCGAGTTCAGCAGACCGGAGAGATATATCATACCTACCTATCTGTGAACAGGAACACATGATAGCAAAGTGAGAAAATTAAAGATGTCCCTATATAGTGAAATAGCTCACTCAAATCAATCAAACAGGAACCACCCCAGTATGTTAACATCCTCGGTATATAAAAACCTTCAAGAGAAAACACAAGAGGAAGAACCATAGTAACTTGCAAGTTCCTCCACCATGACCCATAACACAGTAGTAGAGTCCAAGAGAGTGAGGTAACAGAGACATCTGTAATACATGTGTGAAAGCTTATGTTGATTGGTCCAGCTCCGAGTCCAAAACCCAGCCACCAGGAACCAACATCTATGTGGGGGTAGGATGAGGGATCCCAACCAAAGAGGCGAACTGCAATTTTGACAGCTCACTCCAAAGCTACAACATCTCGTATAAACTCATTCAGAGATGGAGCGTCAACTTGGAGGACATCTTGTCATCCACATCAACAGGACACCACTGCCCTACTCTAAACAGAATGGATTCATTTTGTATCATATATCACTATCACATTCATGAAGAAAAATAAGAGGTATATATATATATATATACAAAAGATAAGATACCCAGTCACAGTCTCACTGTAGTCTGAAGGATGGCCACAGATGCAAGACAATACCCAGACAATGAAGAAACAGTGATCTGATGCAGATAGTGAGAGATTAATGTATGTAATGTGGTCCACATGCCCAACTGAAGAATTTCCTCCAAGGGACAATGGAGATGAAATGTCATGGAAAAGGTAAGGTGCCTAATCTGATGAGAAGACACCTGGAACAAATTACAGGAAGAAGTAGACAAAGAAGTATACACCAATCGATTTAAAAGCCAAACCCAATTGGTAAGGGTGGAGTAGAGGATATCTGCCACACAGTGAAGAGACAGGAATGGGCACCATCGAAGGCAATATAGTAGGCAATATAACAATGAAGAACACATACAGGACATAACAGTCTATTTGAATCAGATCGAGGACATAGGTGGGAAATAAAAGGAAGGGAAATTAGTGAGAAGGAGGAGTTACCCTCATGAGCCCCCAAAGTTTTGGAAAGGAAAGATCAATCCGGATAAAGGAGAACATATGTGGAATGATATAGGGTACATGAAACGTCGATGGTAAATAAATCTGATCAATGACATCCACCAGCCAATATGAGAAGGAAATAAGTCTTAAGGGATAAGTGAAAAATCAAACATGAAGATAGAGGATCAAATGAAGGCAAAGTAAAGCAGTGAGAACCACATTGACATCCCAATCCAGAAGAACTACACACCGAGAAAGACAATGAATATGGAAGGAATGCAACAATAAGGAGAGGATAGGAGAGGTAAAACTTTATGGTACTGGGAAAACAAAAAGTGTGGGATAAAGCAGCCCAATAACCCATGATCAAGCAGACCAAAGACCCCTGATAAAACAGCCAAGTGAGGAAGGGCAAATGAAACAAGCTAAAATTGAAGCAACTCCCTGAGACAATCTGGATCTCCTCACCACAGAGCAGATGAAAACCAAGCTTGAAGACAAGAGGATATAAAAGGCTCGATGAAATGTCAGGGACCAAGACTAACATAGAAGAGATGGAGTAAAAGGAAGAGGTAATGGTTAGGCATATTGGAGCTGAAGCAGC